AGAGACAGCTCTCTCTCTCTCTCTCTCTCTCTCTCTCTCTCTCTCTCTCTCTCTCTCTCTCTCTCTCTCTCCATCCAAGAAATCTCTCTCAAGCCGATACCCAACACTGCTTCGAACTCGCTCGTCTGATCAGAAGATCCTGCGTTGAACCCTTTGTCGTCGCTCACACTCCCTCTCCTACAGCTATGGATGCAGTGCCTCCCCTTGCTGCCAGCGCCCGAATGTATTTTCTCAACCAGACTCTGACGTAGTAAATCTGTCCTGCTCTTACAGCGAGTTCCCTTTGAAGTCTGTCGTCTAATCTTCGATCTGCAATTTGCATGGCAATGACGTGTGTCGTCCCTTCTGACAATTTCAATTCTAAACCCAGATGTGCTCTACCTGGGACAGTAAGTCACTGCTGGAAAGAGTTCATTGTTATCTTTTCACGGGGCGCATGCTAGTCTTTTTCCATACCGTTCCGATTTTAACGAATGTTTCAAAGGACATAAGATTGCCTTTTCTATACTTGCAAAAGAATTGTAAAGGCCTTTACTATCAGATGCGCCTGGACGCCGACTGACATTGAGAGTTTTACGAGTGTTGCCTTGGTTGTTCTGTGCCATCTTGCTTGAAACGCAATCAGACTCGCTTTCTTCTTCACATACATGCAAACAGATGTCAATCCACGCTGGCGCTGTGCGCCCACACAAAGCTCAGAGATGTTCACGTCGAGAACACAGTTTGGATACAAACTCGCTTCCACTGGCTATGGGGCCGGAGCGCTCACACATCCTCTGTCCAACACTGTATTCACACAACCGTTTGCACGCACTCGACCCTGGATCTCCCTGGATATCCCGCACACACCAACTCAGTACAAAACACACACACACACACACACGCGCCGAACTCTGCCTCTAAGCTACAGTGGCTATGGTCGCTCTACTACTACTGGCTATGGACGAACTATCTCCCTTCAGTCTGCCTGTAAGCTACAGCGGCTATGGCCGCTCTACTACTACTGGCTATGGACAAACTATCTCCCTTCTTCCCACTTCAACCTCGGGCTTCTGCAGACCACCTCGCACAAGACGCCTGGACAGCACTTCCGCATGGCTCACACAGGAATGAATGAATGGCTGGACGCTGCCTCTTGATTTATACTTCTGTAAGTCCCTGGTCTGCCCTTTTCCAACGGGCCCATGGTGCACAGTCCCTCATGGTACTTGCTGACTGTACAAAGTGAGACTGGGACTGGGTACTGCTGACTAAGCGAAGTTGGGCTCACCACTTGCCCACTTGCCTCGGGTCTGCTGTGAATAACGTGAGAAAAACTTGAAAGGCCACTTCCGGACCTTCCGGAAGTCTGTGTACTTGGCCTTTCGGGACTGTAGCAGCTACGACCTTGACCTTTCAGGACTGTAGCAGCTTCGACCTTGACCTTTCGGAATTGCTACAGCTACGGCCTCTACACAACTATGACCCCTAGTCGACAGATCTACAGATCGAACCCCTACAGCTACACAGACCTACGACAAGCAACAGTCAACTACTAAAACACAGGTCACGGGTTCAAACACACAGATCTACAGATCGAACCCCTACAGCTACACAGACCTACGACAAGCAACAGTCAACTACTAAAACACAGGTCACGGGTTCAAACACACAGGGGTCGACTCGATCCACGGGTGTGGTAAGGTCTAGGGATCGAGCCCTGGGATCTGCATCTGCTACTGCTAAGGTGAAAACCGTTTCAGAAATAATTAAATGACTTCCATTTTTCTTCCGGAAATTATTAGAACATGGACAGAGAAGTATTCAGTAAATAACTCAATGTTACAATTGGAGTGATAAAAGAGAAGATCAGCATGGCCCCTGCACAAGGATGGGATGCATGAATTGAGAAATGCTTCCCCCGTCCCCAGCCCCCCCCCCCCCCCCCCCCCCCCCCACCAACAAAAAAAGGAAAAAGAGGACAAATCATTGGAACGTTTTCTACATTACCAAACTTCGAGTGTCCTTCAGGACATCCGTTAAAATTGGAATGATACGGAGAAGATTAGCATCGCCCCTAAAAAAAATTAAAAAAACAAAAAGAGAAATTTGAAATTCCCTTAGAGTAGGGATTTTGAAATTTCTAAGTTTCCTTTTAGAGTAGTTTGCAGTAACTTCGTACTGAGCTGCATGGTTTGGCATGTACATATGCTGTGTCTCTGCGGGGCTGACTTCAGGTTTTTGTTCCTTTTTTTAATGTCTCATATATGTATATACGGTCTGTCCTGTTGCTGTGGCTGTGACCTTTGATTGTAGCCTGGGGCAAAGCCGGAGCGCTTGAGGGCTAGGCTGGAGGATCCCAGCGTTGCAAGGGAAGCGCAATCAGAGTTGGATCATATGCGAGCCCGAGTGGAATTCGAGTGGATGGGACAAAACACGTTGTCAGGAGTGACTGTCAGATCTGCATCACCAGTAGATGGAGCGACTGGATTTGTTCTAGGGAAAAACACCATTAAGACCGGCAGTTTTATTTGCTGCTAATTTTTGTCCCTCGCTTCCTAAGCCCACTTGATCCTAATCACTCTATGGAACATTTATGCGCCTCTTTCCACCATTGCCTGGTGTTCATGATAACTCGTCGCTCCTACACCTTTCTCCATCTGAAAGAAAACAACATTTCCTGTCTCTCTCTCTGTGATCTCTGTGTTTTCAACTTTGCCTGTCTGTCTGTTGGTCTGTCTGCTTCCGGTGTTCTCTCTATGTATCTGGATATCTTCCTCTCCACGTCTCTATTGTCTTTGCATACTCCGTATCTGTATGTCTTGCTGTCAGTCCGTATGTCTATCTTTCTCTCCCCAACAAACATCTGCACATGAACACACCACACACACATATACGCACAGGCGGACACAGCCGCCCACCCATCACAAGTTTAAACCAGAAACATATGACCACATTGTTCCCTGGCAGATTGCCCACTCTGCATGGGGTTACCTGCTAATTTGGCATTGACAGTGCAGGTGTGCCTCAAGCGGGATGTATGTGTGGGCACACCCTGGCGGTCAACCACACGGATGTGGAGGACCTTGCACTCTGATGGTGTCTTTTTTTTTTATATTATCGACTGCTATGTTTTCTCATAACTTCTGGGGACAAGGGTTCTTGATGGGGGATCCTTGCTTGATTACTCACACACAGACAGATCAACCTCCTAATGAGTCAGTGAAAGTCCGGCAAAACAGTCTGGGACAGTCCTACTTTTTTTTTGTGGAGTTGTGTCTAGTGAACATGACAACAACAGAGAGTAGATGGAAAGGATGTAACGGTAGAAGATGCAGGTGTGGGGGCCGGTGGTTGGGGAGGAAGGGGGGTGGGATCATCAGGGGGAGGACCACAGAAGACTGGGCTCAGCTCGACTACGATCTTTTCTTGTGGGTCACCTGTAGGTATGGGCTGCTGTTGCTCTTCAGTCTGTGGGGGCACAATTTCAGTGCCAGCTGCCGCATATTGATCCTGCTGTCGACAATTTGGCGATGATTTGTACAGTGCTGCAGGCCTGCGTGTGCACCAGACACGGGCTGCAGCCACCTGTGCAGAATTTGCACAACGAGCAGCTAGCAGCCTCTTCGAGTAGAAGGACGGCTGATCAGTTTCCGCTTCTGGCATCTGACCCCCCCAGTTATCCACTTCGCTCTGATTACTCCCCCGCTCCCCCACTTCTTATTCACTTCGCCTTGATTACTCCCCCACTCCAAATGATGATGAACCACACTCTGATCATTTGATGGAACCCCTGGCTGGAGATGATCTGTCTCCGGAACACATGCCAGAGCCAATTGGGTTATGAGAGCCAGAGGCACTGGCCAGTGACTGTCAAGGCCGGAATGAGCCTCCCTTTGCCATGCATATCTGCAAGATGAAATGATCGCATTGTACTACAGCGAGCCCGCTGTGCGCACTATGCCATTAGTGTGTGTCTCCTCGCCCGCATTTGCAATTCCTATACTGTTTCTGTTTTTGCAGACATTGTCTGCTGGATAGAAGCAGAGCACCGTGCTACTTGCCGCGAGGACGACAGTACAGTGGAGGACGTGAACATGGAAGTGGTGTCTCTGGCATTTATGGGAAGACGACCGCAACTCTCGCCAGCTCAGCCGAGTTATGTACCTGCCAATGCTGCCATGGCCCTGAATGCTCGTGCATGCATCCTGCATTGTCCAGGCTGCTTCACTGCTATTAGCTTTGTGGACGACTTATGGCTTCTGTGGGATAACTGCGCCAGGGTGCACTTGGTGGGCCCCGTGTGGGATAATGGCGTGGGTAATATTAGCCCTTACTATCAACAAGTGGTAGAATGCTCTACTCGGTGTGGCTTGTCGGTCATGAACAGTATGCAGATGTTCACTTGCAAGCTCCACAGCTTCCGGAGAACAATTCGGCCGACCCTCCCCTCTCCCATGAAACAGGTGAGGCAGCGTCTCTTGCCTGTGCAGATCAGACGGATTTTGCCACTGATGCGGATGTTCAGTAGCTCCACAGCTTCCGGAGAACAATCCTGCCGGCCCTCCCCTCTGCCACGAAACAGGCGAGCCAGCGTCTCTTGCCTGTGCAATGGTGAGGGGACCTCTTCCGACAACAATCTCTTCGCCATGCGATTGTGTCTCCATACAGTCAAAGTCCAGTCAGGATGTGCACTCAATGATGTCTGCTGTGAACACTGAAGGGATGGTCAGTGCCAGCCTCTGCCGTGAAGACTGTAACACATTGTCTTGCGCTCACCCCTCCGCACCTGCTTATCGCTTGCCCGATATGTCTTTGTGGCCGTTGCGTGCCACGCTTTTGACTAACTGTGAACGTGAGCCGGCTGTCCTCCTAGCATGTCAGCAACATGCCAGGTGTCGCGAACAATTTCAGGGGGCTGCCATGGAGAGTATGTGCCTCTGCTGTGTGGACTATCCTCGATGCCATCACCCATTCATGTTGCACATGTAATACTAGATAACCTCCAGCCACACCAATAAACCAATCCCCTTCATCCTTGACAGATGAGGAGCAGATGCAGCGGTTCAGCGGCCTGAGGTGTCGAATCGACTCTCGCAGGAACCACCTGCAGTGCACTGTACTAAAAGATAATCGCCGCCAGGGCGAGCAGTTGCACACACGATCTCGCAACAGCCCAATACCCTTACTACAGATCAGGCTGCCTCATCGCCTGTCCATAGAGAGGGAACACCAGCTGTGGAACCCCGAGAATCTTGCTCGATGCCACACTGTGATGGCCCACCTGAAATTCGTCTTGCGTGTGATTGGCATGCTTTGTGTCGTGAGGATTATGATGATGGTATAGCCCATGCAAAACTTTGTTTTCATACATTTGATGACTGTCAACATTGTACTTATGTAGGCCCCCTGACATGGCATCTCCTATTTGCAGACAGGGGCCGCAAAGTCAATGCCCAACATTGCCTATACAATTTTGGTTGGCATGCCTCTCTGTTCCTAGTGTGTGGCAGTCATGTTGCAGTTGACATCTGTCTACACCGCACCATTCGATGCAGCAACTGCAACTGCGAGAGCTCGATGAGGTGTTGCCACGGTCCACACCTGAACCACTCCTGTCTGGTCTGCAGAGTTGGCCCTTCCATAGGCAACACTCGCTCCTCAACTGTTTTTTTCAAGGCTGAATACCCGGTCCCACCGGGGCCCCCTACCCCCACCGGAACCGGGCCGGTAGTACCGGCCGGTGGACCGCACCGGTTCCCTCCCGGTTCCCCTTTGCGCATTTCGATCGCGTGGGGGTTTCAATTTTTTTTGGGGCCAGGAGGCCTCCATGCAGGTCGTGGAGGCCTCCCGGCCCCCAAAAAAAATTAACAGAGTCCGGTAGGCCCTCCAGAATATTGAAAAACTGGCGGTCTATCTGGGCCGTCGATCTGATGAGATCTGCGGCCCCGATAAGCCGCCTGTTTTTTAACATTCGGGAGGGAAACCACCTGAACATCGGCCAGCCATCCTAACGTTCCCCAGCCACCGCCCCCACCGCCTCCACCACCCCGCCTCCCGCCTCCCGCTGCTTTCAAGCAGCACAACCCGTCACTTCGTCCGAAGTGAACGAGGCCGCTGCTTTGGAGACTGCGTCGCCCCCCTCACGTCCGCCCCAGCCTTGGAATCGCCATCGCCCCGCCCCCGCCCCACCCC